CTGCAGCCTCCCAAGCCTGAGCTGCCAGTGGATATCGAAAGTGGCCTGTTTGAGACAGGAAGTGGAGGTCAGCGGGCGGCTGGGAGCTCTTACTGGAAGCCCGGAGTCGAGGACCCCCCCCCCTTTCGCTTGGGCTGCGCTGATAAGAGGTTTCCTTTTATCGTAATTCGCTGCTGGAGCGATTCTCTGAAACCACCTGCGTCCTTGGTGGGGGGGGGGGGCAGAGAGGGGGCCAGGGCTGGGGGGCAGCAGAGCCGGGGACCAGAGCAGGGAGCAGAGGGAGGGTGAGCTGGGGTGACAGGGCTCTGGGGGCAGGACATGGGAGGGAGGGGGAGAGCTGGGTGTACCCAAGGAGATGGGCTAAGGGAGCCAAGGGGCAGTGGGGAGGGTGAGGTGGAAGATGGGGGGGGGGGCTCAGACCCAGTGGGGAGGATGTGGGGCAGGACGGGGACCTTGCTAACATTGCAACGCTTGTTCTAAGCAGCACCAGTGTCGCTAATAGATCTGAAAGGGCCAGCATCTCTGCAGGGGGGTTGTGGAGCAGCGGGGAGGGGCTGGGGACTCCAGTAACATTGTTGCACCTGCTGTTCTAGCTGGCATCTGCCCAGGGGTTATTAGGGACTGTTGGTGAAGAGGCGCTCGCGTGGGGTTTAAAGGGGGCACTGCCCACTGCAGTGAGCTCCGAGCTGGGATGAGGCTGGGGAGTCCCGTGACAGTGTTGCAACAGCTGTTCTAGCCAGAACCTACCTGGGGAATTTCTGTGGCTGGGGGAGGGGAGAGGAACTTTCTGTGGAGTGGGGGGACCCTGAGGAGGTTCTACCCCCCACACATACCCCCTCCCCAGTGACGGTCTCTCCTCCCCCCGCCCACAGGGCTCTGCACATCGCTGTGGCCCAGGGGAACCTGCCCGTTGCCCAGCGCCTGGTCAGCCTCTTCCTACAGGGTCAGCGGGACCTGGACATCTACAACAACATGCGGCAGGTCAGTCCGGGGGGGCTGGGGGTCCCGGGGCAGGGCAGGATGGGGGGCCTGGTCTGTGGGCTTTAATACCAGACTGGTCCCTGGCAGATGGGGGGAGGGGGGAGCTGGGTTTCGGGGGAGGGGTGTGATGCCAACCTGCCCCTGTCAGGTGGCACCAGGCTGAACGGGGGGTGGGGGGAACCCGGGCACGATGTTCCCAGAACCCACGTGCCCAGCCCCGCCCAGCCCCAGCACAGACGGGACTTTCCCCGACAACTTCCTCCCTCGTTGCCTGGGCGACGCCCCAGGGTCAGAGCCTGAGTCACGGGGGAGGGGACAGACCTGGCACCTGGAGCACTTGCAGGTCAAGGGCAAACCCTGCAGTGCTCTCCCCTCTCCCTCTGGCTCCTTGCACCATTCCCAGAGCACTGGGGCACGCTGCGTTGCACACTCACCGTGCACAGCTGAGAGAGACACACTCGGACACTCCCACTCCCTGCAATACCTGTATTCCCGGAGCACTGCACGCTCATGCACCAGGGCATGCTGCCTTCCACACTCACCGTGCACTGGTGTGACACACTGCGACACGCACTCAGACACACTCGCTCCCTGCAACAAGCGTGTTCACGGACTTCCACAGGCATCGCACATTCCCACTGCGATGGCCCCACGCGCCGGTCACACACACAAGCACACTCGCTGTGGTGCATACGCCTGCTCTCACAGAGACACGGCTTGCTGGGACGTGTTCACTCACACACACCCTGGCACCTGTGCACACTCTTACACGCTCAGCCCCCCCCATCCCCAGAGCCCAGAAGGAGCTGCCAGCCTCACCCTATGGACAGGTGCCGCTCACTCCCGACCCACAGCCCCCAGTTACCCCAGCCCTGGGCTCCCCCCAGCTCTGCTTGTGTCCCGGGGGGGGGTCTCTAAGCTGGGGGCAGCCTCCCCCAGTCCCGTGTTGTGTGCCCCATTTCCCGTAAACCACCACCTGAGCCAGCTCCAGCCCCTTCTCAGAAGCGTCTGTGTCAACGCGGCTGGCGCCGGGGGCTGCGGTTAGCACCGTCGGGACTGGGCAGCTTCCTCTGGTTACAGGGTGTGCACCAGCCGCTCGCAGCTTGCATGTCTCGGTGTGTGAGCTTTGCCGTGGCAATGCCCTGCCTGTGTCCCCAGCTGGGAAACCCCCTGGTGCTGCGAGCTTCCTTGTGTGTGCCCCCAGCTGGGACCCACTGCCAGGCGTTGTGAGCTTCCCTGCAGCAGTGCCTTGTGCCTCTCCCCCCTCAGACCCCTTTGCACCTGGCGGTGATCACCACCCAGCCGTCCCTGGTGAAGCTGCTGCTCTCGCACGGGGCTTCCCCGATGGCACTGGACCGGCACGGACAAACGTCGGTGCACCTGGCCTGCGAGCACGGCAGCCCCCGGTGCCTGCGAGAGCTGCTGGAGTGGGGCAGCAACCGACCTGAGCTGGAGGCCCGGAACTACGAGGGTGAGCAGGGCGGGAGGGGATGGAGGGGACTGGGGGCGGGAGGGGTGGATGCGGGGATGGGGGCTACTGGGGTCAGGAGGGAGCTCGTGTTTTTGAGAATTTTTCCAAACAGCTGAGAACTGGGACCAGAATCTCTGGAAAAGCCCAAAGGCCCCCGCCCCAAGCCAGGCCAGCACCCCCCCCCCCATCCCTCCCCCTTGTGCCTCTCTCACCCCCCGCCCCGTTCTCTCCCCCCAGGTCTCACCCCCCTGCATGTGTCTGTGGCCACCTCGAACCGGGACACGGTGCTGCTGCTGCTGGAGCACGGGGCGGACATCGACGCTGTGGTGAGCATGGGGGGGCGCCTACCCCCACCCCACAGACATGGCGCACGGGGGGCTGGGTACGGGGGAGCCCATCCCCTCCAACCCCCCCACCACACACACACAAGGGGGGCTGGGGATGCAGTGGGGAAGAGGATGCAGAGCTGGGAGAGAACTTTGTGAACTGAGGGGGGATTTCCGGGCGGGGTGTATGTGTGACTGGGGGCGGGGAGGAGCCTGTCTGTACCTGAGGGGTCTGACCCTGCTGTGCACCCCACACAGGACATCAAGAGCGGCCGCTCCCCCTTGCTCCATGCCGTGGAGAACAACAGCCTGGACATGGTGGAGCTGCTAATACAGGTGAGGGCCAGGCCCCCTTCCCCCCCCACCGGCCTCTCCCCCACACCTGGCCCCTCTCCCTCCCATCAGCTCCCCCAAATGTCTCCTTGCCCCAACCAGGTTCCTGTCACTGCCCCCCCAAACCCTGCAGCCTCCCAGTCACCGCCCCTGGACATGACGCTCTGGGCGGGGGGCGTTGTCTGTCCCGTCTCACCGCCCGTCTCTTCTCTCCCCCACCACGGCAGAATGGGGCGAATGTGAACGCGCAGTCGTATGCGGGGTGCACGGCGCTGCACGTGGCCAGTGGACGGGGGCTGCTAGACGCCCTGCGGCTGCTGGTGCGAAACGGGGCCGACTGCGGGATCAAGAACTATCATAATGACACGGCGCTCATGGTGGCCAAGAACCGGCGGGTGAGTGGGGGGGACCCTGGGGGGGTGAACAGGGGGCTGGGGAGGGTCGGCAGGACGTGGGGGGGATGCTGGGGGGTGAGCAGGGGGCTGGGGAGGGTCGGCAGGACGTGGGGGGGACACTGGGGGGGTAAGCAGGGGCCTGGGGAGGGTCGGCAGGACGTAGGGGGATCCGGGGGGGGGTGAGCAGGGGCCTGGGGAGGGTCGGCAGGAGGACGCGGGGGGACCCTGAGGAGGTGAGCAGGGGCCTGGGGAGGGTCGGCAGGAGGACAAAGAGGGGCTGCACTAAGAGGCCCCTGGGGGGTTATTGGGAGGGAGAGGCTGGGGGTATAGAGGCATGGAGGGAGGGAGAGTGGGGGCCATTGGGATGAAGGGAAGCAGGGAGGGGAGGAGACACTGCTGCCACGTGGGGATGGGGGGGGATTAGGGGGCCTTGGGGTGGGTCTGGGGGGCTCCCAGCGGGACAGGGTAACTCCCTCCATCCCCCGTTCCCAGGTGATCGACATCCTGAGGGGAAAGGCCTCCCGGCCTCCCCCAGCCCCCGACAGCACCCGGGACGGGGCCTCCCCGGCACCCAGTTCAGCCAGCTCCCCTGGCGCCCGCCTGACCCCCAACGGTGAGTGCTGCCCCCCCAATGCCCCTGGCGCCTGCCTGACCCCCAGCAGAAACACCCCACTGGCCCCCTTAGCCCATGTGCCCACCCCCAGGAGCCCCCTGGGGAATGCCCCGTCTGAAGGTCATGCTCTGGTCCGCCTGCTCATGACCCCTGGAGCCAGCCCCATGGAGAGATGCACCAACCCCCTCACGGCTGCGGGCTCCCCAGTGGGAAGGTCCAGGGGTTCGGGGGGGGGGGGG